AAAGCTGGAGAAATTGTTTTTCCGGAAAGTGAAGGCTTTTCAATCAATTTCATTGTTTCGAAATACAGTTGCGGAAAGAGTTACTGATTAGCCGCGATTTAAGATCAGATCAAAGTAAAATATCTAGTTTCGAAAGTTTCGCCATTGCCTGTGACGAGAGCAACGGACATTATGGGGAAGCTCAATTAGCAGTGTTTCTTCGTTCTTGTGACAAGACTTTTAACATTTTTTGAGGAATTACTGGAACTAATACCATGCTTGGTACTAGCACAGGAGAAATATATTTACTTTGTATTTCTGCAGAAGTCCAAAAAACACATACCTTTGGCAAAATTAAATTATGTAGCTACAGTTGGGCTCCATCATGACGGGAAAACGGGCTTCGTAGCATTACTAAGAAAAAAAAACTTAGTGAAATTCACGTTCAACATTCATCATACATTGTATTACTCAGAAGTTCTATGCACGAAAGTAATATAAATGGAGAATGTTTTGTCACATATAAAAAAAAGTTATAAATTTTTAAGATCTTGAGGTTGAATCAGTGTCAATCATGCTTTCTTAAGTGAGTTAGATAGTGAATATTCGGGTTTGTCCTACTATACCGATGTATGTTGGTTATCTTGCTCCAAGATTCTCACACAATTCCAGGATTTGAAAGAAGAAATATACCAGTTTTTAAAAACGAAAAATCAAGACGTAAGTTTGTTTTACGATCCAATTCGGATACAAGATTTATCTTTCTTGGTTGATATAACAAAACACTTAACGATTTAAATTTATCGTTACAAGGAGAAGATCATATCATTACGAACATGTTTGACATAAATTAAAGCATTCAAATGTCAACTAGTTCTTCGGGAAAAAGAACTTAAAAATGAAGATTTGACGCACTTCCCGACGTGCAGCATTTGAATAAATCAAGTTTAGATGATACTGTTCGTATCCAAAAATACGCAGAAAAAAATTGCAAATTTAACAACTGAATTTGAAACGAGGTTTTAATTGATTTTAGTTCTCTCGAACACAATTTTTTTTTCCTTCGATTTTTTTCAATAAGTATTGACTCAGTACCCAGCCATATGCAAATGGAGGTGATCGAGATTCAATGCACTGAAATTTGAAAAGCAAAATTCATTGAAGTGGGCGTTGCCTGATTTTACAAAATATTTACCAGCCAGGTTTGAAAATACTCGAAAATTTGCATATGAAATTATTTCCATGTTTGGTAGCACACTATCGGGCGAGCAGTTATTTTCAGCCATAAAGGTAATAATCTCCTATTAGATACCGTATTAATGATGCTCACCTTGGGTCAGCGTTTGGAAGTTATCACTGCAAACAAATTTCTCCCGAAATAGGAAAGATAATAGCAGAGAAGAGATGTCAAGTATCAGGACGTAAACATTAAATTTTCTGGTTCTTTTCTATAAATATATATATATATATATATGTTTATTATTGTATATTCGAAATAAATCTACGTTTCTATGAAATAGATTTTTTTTTTTTTTTTTTTTTGCGACCCGCATAAAGTTAAACCTTGTTTGTTTGGCCCAAGTGTACCTATGAGTTTGACATCCCTGTCTTAGAATGTGCTTTATTTAGTATATAGTAAAATAAGCATATCTTTAGAATTTCCTATACGCCGTCTTGCGCGCTGGATATAGAATTTTTTTTGGGGGGGGTTACAGCGTTGCCATTGCTCGCTTCGATATCCTTGAATCTGTTAATCAAAAATTCATTAAAGTGTTACAAAATATGAAATCGATAATAAAACAAATTCCGAATTCTGCCTTCCAGGTGCTAATATTTGTTGGAGGATTACGATATTGAAAATTGGATGGCTCTAGGTACCGTTGTTTTATCACAATGCGAGAAAAACACATACATTTATGCAGATTTTTTATTGCTTAATTTCTGTAAATATAACACAGAGCAATAATATTTAATGGTAGCAATTTCAAAAGTGAAAAGGAAGTTTAAAGTTTCCAACGCAAAATGCCAAAACGAAATTAATAGTCCTTCTAGGCTAACGGCATTTGGGTTAAAAGATTACTTTTCTTCAAGTTTTGATATTTATCAACATTTTCTATACTTGAATGGGGCAAAAAGGTTGAGAACCCCCCTGTTTAAAAACTTTCCATTACACTGAAAATACGTTTACTATTCTGGTACTTTATCTTTTTCTACATATTGTACATTTTCATTACACATTTTCTACCATTTTACTTTACATTTCAATGACGTCACGTATTTGTCTCCTGAAATGTCAGTCAAGGAATCTGAAAAAAAATCACCGTTTACGGCATCAACTCAGGCGTGAAATTCCTATCACTATGCAATTTAGTGTCTAATTAAACATTTTTCAACCTACAAAATGAGCGTCTCTTATCAAACATATAAAGTCAGCTATTTCGATGATAAATAACCTAATAGCGATTTGCAAAAACTCTCTCTCTGCACCACAAATCCATTTGATGCTTAAACTCAGCTTAACTTGCAATCTGGTGATGGCCGATGAAAGAAACGAAAGGCACAGAAAAGAATTAAGGTAAAAATATCTGTATTAAAATAAACTTTGCAATAAATAACAAATACTTTAATACTAACAAAACTTTAAGGCTCTCTGTAAAAATGAAATATACATTTCTAATCGTATCTTATACCTACCTTATCGAAAATGATTTTACATGTGGCCGCATGAACATAAAAGTTGTCAACACATAATGCTGACTATGAAAACTGCGTAAAACATAAAACTAATAATAAATTCTTTTATACTAATACTAAATAATACTAATAATTAAAACTAATAGTAATACTAATTTATAATAATATATAATAATAATAATCACAATAATAATACTAAAAATTAATAAATAACTTGTTAGAAGAATTTCAGTTGACTTTATTTAAAAAGAAACACGTTATTTAATTTCATTTAGAAAACACTCATGGTACTTTTTAACTCTTTACTGTCAGACCGTTAGAATCCAAAATCTAAAAATAAAAAGTCGTCTGCGATTTCCACGGCAAATGAAATCGTTTTCTTTTCCTGATCGCGCTGCCACACCAGCGCTTATAATTAGGTACGAAACATTTCTTATAATGTAGTTATGATTAGGTACAGATTTCTAATCTTATATCTTATCGAAGATAATTTTACGTGTGACAGCAAGAACTTAAACGCTGTGAACACATGATGCTGACTATTAAGGAAACCAAATTTCAAGAACGCTGCGTAATAGATAAAACTAATAATAAATACTTTAATACTAATACTAAATAATACTAATAATTAAAACTAATAATAAATACTTTAATATAAAATAAAATATGAAATAATAATACTTTCTTAAAGATGATAATAACTTTCAAATCTGAAAGTGGAATATACAAAACAACATTTTAAGACTGAAAAGAATTTGTAAGCTTAAAATTGATTTTTATGATAAAATGAAACTGTGCGAGTATAAAATGCATGTAGGTATGAATTCATCCAAAATAGCTTAGAAATTTAATTTTCTCCTATAATGGGAAAACGCCTTTACGTTAGGTTCAAAAAAGCCTATACGTAACAGATTCTCATGAAAACAGAATTAAAAAAAAAAGTAATAAAGTCACACATTTTGTTTTTCTAAATATTGTTCACAATCAATAAAAGAATTAACACACATTTTAATTAATTTTTAGTTAAGGAAAATTATTTCAATATTACCTTAAGTCAGAGTTACATTATTTCAATGTTATCTTAAGTTTGGGTCGCGACTCAAACTTAATATTGAAACCGCGGGACCTGCAGCAGGAGATCTCTGAAAATTTTAGCAGTTTTGATATTTGGTAGTCCAAAAGCGCTTTGTACCTGAGGAGCTATTATTTTCTTTTTGCGTCGAATCACTCTGAATGTCCGTTTCACTTTTCAAACTGTTGTCACCAAATATTATCGAACTTTATTATATTTGAAGAAATTAAATAATGAAGAATCTGAATAAATGTATGTATGTTTCTCGCACTTTAATAAAACAACGGTACTTAGAGCCACCAAAAATTTGAATGACGTAATCCTACTACGAATCTGGAAGCCCAAATTTGGAATTTGTTTTATTATTGATTTCATATTTTGTAAAACTTTAACGAATTTTCTATGAACAAACTCAAGCAAGCAATGGCAACGTTGTACATAAGAAAAAAAAATATCTTGTATATTTATTTACATTATTTATGAGGCTGTGTATCCGAAATTCTAAAGATATGCTTAATTTAAAATTATTTTGCGATACTGCTCTTGAACTTAATTTTATGGCTTGAGTGCGAAGAACATGATATTTAATAAGTAAAGGTAATGCACAAAATGTTAAAAAAAGCCCCTTTGGACGCTATTTAAAATGTGAAGCCTTTCAGATGTTCTTTTTTAACTTATAATAGTTTTACAATTACCAAATATTTTTACACAATGTATCTGAAAATAGGTACAAATAAGACAATACAGACAAAGAAAAAGCGAAAACGTTTTGACGCATTCTTTTTATAATATAAACGTACATTTTACTTGCTTTTCACTTGACGCTGTCATTTCGTCTGTTACTTATTTAAAATTTTCACATTGCTCTGTGTCTTAAAATTGGAAATTAAAGTTAATGACCTAAAACTGCAATAGTATATTACAGTAAAAGTGAAAAAATCGAAAGTTTCACTCATGCGTGTGTCGGATTTGCGCAATTATTATGGGGTGTCACAAATTTTTCGTAAATTTTATGGGGTCTGGGGGTCGGGAAAAATCTCGGGCATGAAAAGCGGTAGCGACTGGAAGTTTAAAACCCTGGACTAAACTGTAACTGACTCGTGCTGCCATCTAGTGGAAGAGAACTTGTCCCGATCAAAATCAAAATTGAAAAACTTTTCTTTCCAATTTCTAGTAACATAAAATTAATTAAACTTCTTTTATTTGCTGTTCGTATTTTGTATTGATTCATTAAAATATAATAATATGTTTTCAGGGAATTTATGGAACTGGTGAACTTTGCCCCAGGCTTTAAAGAACTTCTTAATAGTTCCCAGGAAAAGTCTCTGTTTGCGCCAACTAACGAAGCAATTCGTCAGCTTCCACCTGAAGCTATAGGCACCATCAAGACAAACATCACTGCCATTACAAATGTAAGTTGTCTTCATTTATTTATGATTCTTAAACGCCAAATGTCATTTTGTTGCAAAATTGCTGTGGCTGTTAGCTGCAGAATTATTTTTGCATTATACTGTTCCATTTCTTTATCTTTTTAATCAATTCGAATTAAAAAAGAAAATGAGTTCTAAATTACAGTGTCTTGACAAAAGTGTTCGGACACTTTAAGAATTTCCAGAAAAAGCGCTGCAACCCGCAAATGAATTCGAATATAAAGCCCAATATTGTTTCATATGATCTCCATGTGACTTTGTATAAAATCAGACCTTTTAATTTTTAATACGACCTTATTTTCTTTTTTTTTTTTTTTAATTGAAAATTTAAGGATGCATAGGCAAAACACGCCACAAAAGTAATCGTACACCGAAAACAACTTTTTATTTTTCGATTTTGATGATGTTTAAAAAATTGTTTGGGTTTAATTTTTGCTTGCTTATTTCGTTATTAGCCCAAAGGGCCCAGAAGCCAAATTAACAGACAATTTAATTTACCAATTAATAGCCCAGAATGGCTATTCCGTTTTGGCATTTTACGTTGATTCACTATAAATGTCGGTTCACTTTTCAAATTTTTGCCACCAAATGCTATCGTCCTGTGTTATAGTTAAAGAAATTAAATAATGAAGTACAAATGTATGTATGTATGTTTCTTGCATTGTGATAAAATAACGGTACCTAGAGCTTCCAGTTTTGAATAACGTTATCTTCCACCGAATATTAGCATCTGGAAGCCCTAATTTGGAATTTGCTTTATTATCGATTTCATATTTTGTAAAACTTTAACGAATTTTTCATTAACAAACAATTTCAAAGCGAGACATGGCAGAAAGTTACGGGGGGGGGGAATATTTTTATCTCCAATGCGCGAGACTGTGTATCTGAAAATCTAAAGCTATGCTCATTTTAAAATTATTTTGTGATATTGCCAGTGAACTGAATTTTATGGTTTAAGGGCGAAGAACATTGTGTTTAATAAATAAAGGTAACAAACAAAACGTTAACTACGTCCCCTTGGGCGTAATGTAAAATCTGAAAGTAATGTAAAATCTGATTTAAATTTTTTTACGGAAATTGTTATTATTATATGTTAAATATTGCGTGAATGCTAATGTTGTGTGTTAGGTTTAATGAATTCCATTGGTTTCGCATTACGAAGTTATATACAAAGTACTCTTTTCTAAGCATTCATTTGGATTCTGGAAACAGATAAAATAATTTATATCATCTCATTCTTCGGTGCAGTATGTGATAAAATGCTTAAAGAAGAAAATCGGATCCAAAGTAAGAGAGGTTGCCTGGCAAAGAGGATTCTACGTGATCAGAGATTTATAGTTAGAAAAATATATGGAAATTCCATGTTTGAGTATTTTTAAAATTCCTACAGAGTTTTCTGAAAACTTTTCTACTTCAGATTCTCTTAAAACTGTTCGACGAGTACTCAGATCAGCTGGATTGCACGGGCGATCTGCCCGAAAAAAATTTTCTGGAAGTTGCAAAAAAAAGAAAGCTTAGGCTTTTCTTCTCAAAATCAATTGTAAATAAGCTCGATGCGTATTAGAATCATGTCTTATTTGTAGATGAAAGCAAATTTAACATTTTTTTATTCCGATGAGTACGGAGAAATAAAAAATAAAAGAAAAAAAAAAAAAAAAAAAAAAAAGAGGAGCTTAATCGCAAGACCTTTATTAGAACAGTATAGCACGGCGGCAGAGGTGTTCTTGCGTGAGGGTGCATGTCAGCATCAGGATTAAATAATTTACCATTTATTGATAGCACAATGAGCCATGCTGTTTATTTAAATATTTTAAAAGGTAATTTAATATTATCCGCCCAAAATTTGTATAATGGAAGCAACTTCACGATCCTAAGCACACGGCTCTCAATGTTCGCCTTTGGGTATCTATACTTGTTCACAAGTTCTGAAAACACTACTTCAATAACCAGATTTAAAGTCAATAGAATACATTTGGAGTGAATTAGAGGTTAGAGTACGATGACAAAGCATTAAAACAAAAACCGAACTAAAAACGGTAATTCAGATAATAAATGCAGATATGAAAATTTAGATATAAAAAAAAAAAAAAAAAAAAAAAAAAAAAAACTGGCGAGATCTATGCGCAAATATTTGAAAGTCATAAATACTGCAGGATGTACTACAAAATACTAATTGACAAAAATATTACTATATTGTCTGATATGTGCAGAATTTTTTAAAGAGTACGAAGACTTTTTTGAGGTTACTTTTTGATTATTGATTTTCCAAAAAATAATAGGTTCATAAAATAATTAATTTAGATAAATTATTAAATAATTAATTCTCAACGATTTAAAATCGAGCAATGGCAACACTGCACGGGATCAAAAACATTTTTATCTCCAGCGCGCGAGACTGCGTATCGGAAATTCTAAAGATATGCTCATTTTAAAACTATTTTGCGATATTGAAGTTGGACTGAATTTTATGGTTTAATGATGAAGATAATGATATTTAATAAATAAAGGTAACAAACAAACGTTACAAAAGTCCCTTTTTCGCGTAATATAAAATCTGAATGCTATCGGATTTTTATTTTTATTTTAACTGTGTTGCCTTTGTTTGCTTTTGAAATCGCTGAGATTGTTGATGAAAATTTGTTTAAGTTTTATAAAGAGATAATATAAAAAATCCGAAAATCAAATTTCGACCTTCTAGTAGCCCATGCTCGGGTGGAGGATTCCGTTATTCAAAATTTGATTGCTCTAGATGTCGTAGTCTTTTCACAGTGAAACTTTCATATATTCCTGCAGATTCTTCATTATTTAATTTCTTTAAGCATAATACAGCGCGATAATATTTCGTGCAACGATTTAAAGCGTTATTCAGATTTTCATGGTAATTCAGCGCAGAATCCCGTTTTGAGACTAATAGCTCTTCTGGGCCGACGTTCAGAAGGACGTTGGTCTAATAAAATGGCTGAAGAATTTTTGCTGGAATTGCTGGAATCGCAAAAGAGTTGCACTCGAGACCAAAATATCATTCCGAACCATTTCCAAGTCTTTAAATTGATGTCCGCAAACTGTTTAAAGGATGTCTAACTTGGCTTAGCAAGAAAAGAGGGTCGCAAACGTTTGCTGAGGTCATTACTGATCGTGGTCCATCATCTGTGAGCGAAACCATCAACACATGGTTTCGCTCACAGATGATGATAGATTGTTTTTTCAATCAGATGATTTAAATATTAGTTTATCTAGCACGAACTTCTTGCTGTTTATAAAGACATCATTTACTGTAGATGTAGCTGACCACTTCAAAGGAGAGGTATAATATTGCTGAGTTTTACGGGTTAGAGGATTTGGAGTGATTGGAGACAGCACTTGATGAAGAATCAAAGCACCTTATTAGTCATTATTACACAGAAGAGTTAAAAAGACCCGTTGACAGCTGTCGAAAAACTAAGATCAGCTGAAACAATAAACAACACACAATTCAGGCTATAACGGTGAAGGCAGCTTCATTGCAAAGCACTAAACTACCGCTTCCGCCTCTTTGATCGCTCTCGAAACTCAAGACACTACTACTGAACTCAACGTACTCTCGATACTCTCCACGATACAACTCAAGATACGCTTCTATGATAAAACTGACAATACACTACTACTCCTCGCACACCAGGGTTTATATAGCTTTTGGGCTGCCTTCGAGAACATTCTGGGACAAATCGGTAAGAATTCGTTCAAGAATATTCTCGCTTTGTGTATGGCATATCGCCAATTTTCTCGCCAAATGTGGCCAGATGGGCGATTTATGTCCAAATATGACAATCTTGTCTTTCCTTGACATTTTCGGGCAACTCTAAACCTTTTTGCAGGGAAGCTATCTTACCGCGGCTGGGCATTTCGTAGCTATATATACGAGTATAAATTGATAAATGCCCGGAATTTAAGGTATTGGATATAACTGCTCATAAATGTATTTCATCATTGACAATGATGTAATGCAGTTGGAAATTCATTCGTCTTTACTATCATTATACCTACTCTCATGACTGTATGTTAGTGATCCTTTGTAAAGCGAAACTAGCTTCTTAGTTCCCGATGCAACTTTCATAGAATATGCATGATATAGTCTTTATATGCATATTTTTGAGGAATTATTCCTCAGCGAGTTCTAAAAAGGGCTGGCCTAGAGCATTAAATCAGAAATGCGAATATCTTCCTCCTGGGCTTCTTTCCAGTCTGCTTAAAAGTACACTCTATCACATTTATGCATAAAACAAAAACAATAATTATATACAGAAATGAAAACAATATTAAATTTTTGTAAGTTAGCAGATAATGACATACTGGAGACTTAAACAGAATTATGTATAAAGTGAAAATAAACAGCATAAAATGAAAAAAGGACATTAATAAGGTATGTGGTCCCCCCTCATCTGTATACAAAGTTTACAGCTTGTGACCATGCTTTCAATTAGGTGGTCAACCACCGCAGAAATAAGCAATCGCCATTCTTCTTTTAGAGCAAGTTTCCAGCTCAATTAAGAGTAGGCTGGAGGTGGGTGGGAAACGTGAAAGATACAGCACTGCCGAGAGCAATCCCAAAGATTTTTAATGGGATTAAGATTAAGATCGCGTGAATATGCTGGCCACGCTATACGCGCAATCCCGTTCACACTCCAGGTAGTCATCGACGATATCAGCTCTATGGGGACGTGCGTTATCGTCCTTTAAAACAAAAGTAGGGCCAACTGCTGCAGCGTACAATCTCACAATGGGTTCTAGGAACTTCATCTCGATACCGGATAGCCATCAAAGAACCCCGTTTAAAGATGTGGGCAGGTCGGTGCGGTATCCTAATGAAATTCCTGTCCACGCCATAATGCTTCCGTCTCGGATTGCGTGATGTTCGTTGATGTTTTGGGACTGATTGCATGTTCGTTGTTCACGCCATATCCTTACGCTTGTCATCTGCCAGAGCAAATCTTGACTCCGCAGTAAAACATGACATTGTCCCAGTCAGACACATTTCAATTGACATGTTCCTGGTACCACTGTAATCGTGCCCTTCTTAATTGGACGGATAGAGGAACACAAACGCGAGGTATCCGGCTGTACAGTCCACTCGTATGTAATCTTCGGCGTACAGTAGCTGCAAATATCACCTTACCAATAGACGCAGTAACCATAGATGTCACATATGTGGAAGGTCGCTCTTGCGATTTCGCTTGGCTACAATAGCAATATATCGATCTTCCGCGGGGGTTGTAACAATTGGGAGACCGGCTACGGGCCTTCGGACAACTGTCTGTGTGGTTTGGAATTGTTTCCATAAACGTGAAATTACAGAATGATGAACGCCGAAGAAAAGAGCAACATCTGTAATCGACTGTCCTGCTTCAATGCGCCCCACATCACGCCAGAGCTCAGAATCTTCCATTCGTCTTCTGGAAGTCATAGAAACACGTACGTTTTGAAAACAAATTGTACGAAAGTTTTAAACACCTTCTATCAGCACTTACAATGAACTTCTGCAACCCTTTATAAAGCTGGCTTCTTATAAGACTGTCCTTTTTGCATATTTATTGACATGAAAGTGCGATTGGCTGTTACCTAACATATTTGCATACTTCCATCTACCTCTGCAGCGAATTGCATCCTCTTCGATTCTAATTGGCTTCCGGAAATTAGCATTTTCCTCTCCGTGCTTAACTTTTGGAAGTGAGTGCATATGCACTCAAAAAGAAACAAACTACTACCACGAAACTTAACATGTATGCAATGCATGAGGAGATAAACAAACAAATTCAGAGCAAATGATCGTTTTATTAAGAAGTTATGACACGGAAAAGGTTACAAATCAGTACGTAGTATAGCCAAAGAGTCCTTTATTCTGTCCTTACGAACAGCTGTCACATCCTTAAATTGCACTCGATAGCGGTCAATATGTACATTATTGTTGAAATATCATACCTGGAATTTTTCTTGATTACAATACTTCCTTTACTTCGTAAAGTTTTTTAAGGTAGTAAAAAGGATAAGTGACTTTTTTCGTGAAAGTGTTTTCGTTTTAAATATCAACATTTAAGACATTTACCTCAAGTTCTATCCTTGCATAAACTAACTTCAGCAGAAACTTAATCTAAACTGTTTTCAGTACTATGTTTGCTCTTTATAAAACTTACTTGTTTAAGAACACTGTACAAAATAATTCAATGATATTTACTTTTTAGTATTTTTAATATAACAGTATTGTATTTTATATTTTTTCTTTGATTTCTCCAGACCTAGATGTTATGTTTTTATTGTTGAATTGTAACTCCTTGTACTACGAGTTATTTACTGCATCTGTAAGCCTTGTGGAATACTTCATGGAATACGAAGAGTTTTGTATTTGTTTTCTTAATTTAAAAAGGAAACAAAAGTCCCAAAAAACCAAGTAAAGTAATATGTATCTTTATAAGTCCAACTCCTACAGGCCATGTTAATTATACCATCAAAAACCATAAACAAGCTTTAAAAAGATTTGAGTAAAAAATGACACACCGAAATAGATTATTAGAGAAGTTAAAGCAGCAAAAATCAATGTAATATCCGTAAATTTGCATCTTGGAAATTTATTAAATTTCTAAGTCCTGCAAATTTATGAATGTTACCGATAACTTCTCCAATACGATTTTAAAATGCTTAAAAGTATTTATTTCGATTAGACGAGTCCAAATAACAAAGCATATAAATACAAACAATCTCATGCATGAAAAAGTAATGATTGTACAAAACAGCTCAGCTTTGTAAGTAAAATGGTAAACGATGACATAATTCAACATAATTTCATCAAGAACACAGCTAAAACAGCTTGCTAAACTGCAGTTGTCAATCTAAATATTATCACCACCAACCTAACGGGAGTGTTTCATGATAAACTTCACCTAAACATCATGCCAGTACGATCTGGATTTCTTTAGACAGATGAATTAGGTATTCTTGACAAAATTCTTACAGTAAATTTAATTTAGATTAAACTGGCTAGTAATTATCTATCTGCTTTATTAACAAAATGGACCTACTTCAGCTTCCAAGTCTCATAAAAGCTCGCTTGAATGAGTTCAATATTTGACAATGTTTTTCGCTTCCTGCCGTTTTTCTCTTTTAGGTTATTTATAATTTGCAACGCATTTGCTAAATTCATTGTTCCTAAATTTGCTCATAGTTTACTTCATCACATTTACTTAGCTTTTTCAAATCTATTTATTCTCACAATTTTTTCAACTTCTTCGAAAACCAAATCAGAAGAGAAACACGCCAAAGTGAAACTTAAAATTAGTAAAGAAACAACGTTGTTTTTTCGCTTAGATTTAGACAGTTCCATTTTTTGTCTAAATCTGGGCCAAATACTTACCAATTTTAAGTTCTTCAAAATATTTTTAAACTAAGCACAACAATGTTTCTGATCGCTGAATTAAAAAAAATAAATCGATTATTCTGTTACTCGGTACTAGAACTTTTTCTTTAAACTTAAAATTAGTAAAGAAACAACGTTGTTTTCTCGCTTAGATTTAGACAGTTCCATTTTTTGTCTAAATCTGGGCCAAATACAAGATTGTTTCTTTACCAATTTTAAGTTCTTCGAAAATCTTTTTAAACTAAGCACAACAATGTTTCTGATCGCTGAATTTAAAAAAATAAATCGATTATTCTGTTACTCGGTACTAGAACTTTTTCTATTATTTTTCCTCGGTAAATTACTGGATTTTTTTAAGGTGTATAATCCAAGTAATTCCATGTTTTATTCTTTTACAAAAATTTTTACTACAAAAATTTAATCTTACAATAGAAGACATTTCTAATTTTTTATTACTTTTAATGCTTAAAATTCATAGTTTGCCTAATTTAATTTTAATCTTAATTTTATTAGCCCAGAAGGGCTAATAAATTAATTTCGTTTTGGCATTTTGCCTTGTTTCACTATAAAACGGCAAATCACTTTTTAAATTGTTGCCACAAAATACTACAGCCCCGCATTATATTTTAAGAAATTAAATAATGAAGAATATGTATGAATCTATGTATTTTTCTCGCACTGTGAGAAAACGAGGGTACCTACAGACATCAAATTTTGAACAATGTAGTCCTCAACTCGAATATGGGCATCTGAAGGCCCAAATTTAGAATTTGTTTTAATACCTATTTCATATTTTGTAAAACTTTAACGAATTTTTGATTAACAAACTCAAAGATTTTAAAGCAAGCAATGGCAGCACTGTACGGGGAAAAAGCCGCCTTGTCTCCAGCGCGCGAAGGATATGCTCTTTTTAAATATTTTGTGATATTGCTGTTGAATTGAATTTTATGGTCTAAATGCGGAGAGCAACAAGTTTTAATAAATGTAATACACAAAACGTTAAACAAACGCTTCTTTTAGCGTAATATAAAATCTGAAAACCTCCAGTTTTTTATCTATTTTTTTAATTAAAATTTTTAGATGAAACTTTATTTTGTATTCGTATGTCGGATTGTTCCTGTTTTACACTTTTTTAGGGGTTCTCCACCGACTTAAATTGAAAGTAATTATCATAAGCTTTTTCAACTTTGCGCTTGTTTATAATTTTGATACTACAATTTAAATTTTTTTTTAAATTTATTCCGACTTGCATAGTTTTAAAATTTTCATGTATTTTTTTCCTACATTGCATTGCTTGCATTAACATGTTTTTTTTTTAACTCTGTGTACTCAAAATAAATGTTTTAAATTTTAAACTTATTTTAAGCTTGTTTTGGGTATTGATACAGTACTTTTATAATTTTTTGCACTATTTACTATGGCCTGTAGGGGTCGAATTCATGATGACACAGATTACTGAGATTATTTTAAGTATTATACTTTTAATTTGGGTCTTTGTTTAGAAGCAGGCTGATGTATTTACTATTTTCTTTGCACTAACCCCCTGATGATGATACAGCGAGAGATGTATTTTTTTTCATTTTGGTTTTGGTAAATTTGGCCTTTTGTGTAGTTTGCCACTGTGTTTCTGATTATTATTTTCTGCACTTGATTTATTCCTAACTGAATGTAGGATGGATTTTAAACGTAGTATTTATTTAGATTTATTTTTTTCCTTATTGCCACCACTTACTGCTGCTGTCAGTTTCGCGGTTAGGTTTTGAGATGCTTTTTATTTTGTATATATGCATGTACATAAAAGATTTGTGAGAGCTAACAATCCTATGTGTATGTAAACTGAAACTGATAAAAGTCATTTTTAGGAAAATTAACTGTAATATACTAATATATTTATTAAAGCCTTTTTTATGTATTTTAGTTACTGAAGCTTCATCTGGGGATGAAAAGTTGATGCCATGCTGTATGGACGGCATAGAGAATACGTATCGGCTGACAACAGAAAACAGCCTGCATTTTCGAATTTTGGGACAGAGAAGAACAAAAGTGAGTTAATTGCAATTTATTATCTGTTTAAAAATAATATCCAAGAAATCTGATGTGTACACCACATGACTTCCTTGCACGGAATATTAAATTATATGACGCATATTTTTCCTAATTTGCATTTCATTTTAAATTTAATTATTTCTTCTGATTTCATGAGAACTAAAAGAAACCACGCTATTGAAACTTTTTACCCTTGTGTGTGGCCGTCTAAATAAGGGGGCGTCTTATATGCCAGTCCGTCTTATATGCCGTCAAATACGGCATATGCATTTTTCCTGCATTTCATTTAAACTAATTTCCTCGAATTTGTGTAGAAATAGATTTCTCATTCAATTTATTAAGTTCTCACTTAGCGGCAAGGCACAAGTACATAAAATCTTAAAATATCTTTATTAAAAATTGAAAGATATTGAAAAACATAAAACCCCAAGTACCGTTAATACCGCCAGAAATAATTACAATTAAAATTAGAGTTTCTACGCAAAAGCAAGCAATTCGCCCAGCAGAAAAGAAGGCAGATTTTTGCGTGCACAAAGCTAAGTTTCCTTTAGGTCCCATGCGGCAAAAAGACACTGAAAGGTGCTATTCACTATTCTGCTGATTTAATTCTGCTGATTCACTATTCTGCTGATTTAATTCACTATTCTGCTACGTTGCAAAAGTAAACAAATATGGTTACTGTGGTTAAAAAAATTAGGTTTATCAACACTTAAATAATTGATAATTCTACAACTTGTAGAGACACTTAGGAAGTTTTTTAGCAGAAGAGATGTAGCAGGAGAGGATGAAAAATGAAAAATGCAATGCCCTCGCCAGCATTCGAACCAGAGACCTCTTGAATACACGCTGAGCGTACTGACCACTAAACCACGAAGGCATGCAAAGAAAGCGGGAGAAATACCTTATAAACTATTGCATGCAGATTAACTAAAGGCATAAAAATCTAAACCGGAAGATAAGAACAACATAATTGAATAATTTTTAAAGGAAAAAATGCACAATTTACCAACATATAAGACTAAAAATACTGAACTCACGGAGCCGAATAACAGACTGTGTGTGTATATATACGTTTGGTGCGGCTGATTGCAACCAAAAAGGGAGGTGCACTAGTACATATTATAACCGTCCTATATACAAAATTTCAACGTTCCAAGGCTACTTCATTTTGAGTTATGCGAGATACGTATGCACACAGCAAATCTCTTCTGAGGTTAATTTTTTGCTATAGCTCTATTTACTGCCTGCCTTCATAGACTGCCATAGAAGTGCCGCTGCTACAAGAGCTTATTTGCGTCTATGAAATACATGCGTAGATATAGAGGTAGTAAACCCGGCTGTCTCTTTCCGAGGTAAGACCACTTACATAAAAGTCTAATGTGTCACCAACAGTGCGTTTAAGAAATGCATACGTAGATATATAGGTACTAAACCTGGCTGTCTCTTTACGAGGTAAGACATCTTATCTAACATGTATGCCGAACACACATAGCGTTGGTATGTTTGTAAACACTAAAGCCCGTGTATTAAAATTCGTTGCACTAGGCAACTCAAGGTGAAATCTTTCCATATATGGGCATCGAAACACATAGCTGTTGGTCTGTTCAATAACCACACATTCACAGCTGACAGTGTTTGCCCGGTGACAGCGTTTCAAATAATGGCCCGTCCCATGTCCCATTCAAAAGCGGGTCATAAAACCCGTCTTTATATTCAGGTCCATACTGAAGCTTGGAAAATAGCTGAAGGTTCTCCCTTTCCCGTTAAAGAATAATCCCAACTCTGTTTCGAAATTTCCATCATTCTTATTTTCGTTATTCGTTTCGAATACGAAGTCTCCACCTCTAACATTTTAGATTTTTTGGCTGTGGATTTAGCTATCTTATCTGCCTTCTCATTTCCAAGTATTTCAGCATGTGCGAAAACCCAACAGGGGAAGATTCTGTTAGGGAAAGATATTCGCAGAAGCATACTCCTAACGTCACTCAACAATGCCGCTCTTCTGACCAGTTCCTTGAAGAATCACTGAATCTTCTGGTTCTGTGTGTTAAATTGTTGAAGACGTAAACAACTGCTGCTACCTCTGCCGTGTTGTTGTCATGAAGTCGTCTAGACAAAACATGTCTGACAGTTTGGTCATTCATTTCACAAAATCTGCATTCAGAGCCTTTCTTCCTTTTGAAGCCCTCTGTATATATATTCAGATATGACGAATGAGGAGTGTTATACTCTAGGCTGATTGCTTCATCATGATCCGAAGCAGCTGCGTGTCCAAGAGTAACAGGTCAATGGTCCTTTAGTCCATAGCGTAATAATTCATAAACCCACGAAGTAATAACCCACGTAGTCTTATAATGCTTGCAGTCCGTGTCAAAGCTGCCACTCTTCTGACCACTTGATCCAGGAGAGGGAGTCCTGACAAAACCTGTAACGAGTCAGCAAAGGTGGTTCAATATTTTCGAGACCAAGAGGAGTTATGTTTGCCCTTTGGATCCAAAGTAGCAGCTTTCTCGTATGGCAGGTAAGTCTAGATCCCCACACAGAGATTCCACATAAGATTACTTTTTGTGTTATGACTCGATAGCAGGCTTTCATCATCTCTGGAGAAATATCTCCCGTGGTCTTTTCCAGAATATTGATTGAAGAAACCACTCTCTGTTTGATATTCTCGATATATGGTGCAAGCTGCACATATGAAAAACCACGAAAACGTTCAAGAAGTCAGCCAGATCTTCTGTAACCGAACCCAAGCAGCGTTCAGCGATTTTACCACTCGGCCGCTTTTCATGATAAATATTTTGTATAATTATACATATGAATGATACTTACTTACTTCTTAAAATGTCTTCTTGCACCAAAAAAATGCAAACTACTTCTTCAATGACTCGGCAGCCCTGGGTGGTCCCCTGGCCTTCTCCATGGCCTGGCTCTTCTTTACTTTCGCCAAGTGATTTCCAGTTTTTAACCTTTAAAGTATTAAGATCTTCTTCGACACAATCAATCGATCGATCTTAGCGGGATCTATATAAAAATATATATATAAAATCTTTCTGCCCTGAGGGCAGAAAGATATTTGTGCAACAGCGACCTTGATTCATTCTAGCCAGATGGCCAGCCCAATTAAGTCTGTAATTTGACGACTTTTATAATATCAGGTTGTTTGTAAATTTTATAAAGTTCTAAATTCGATCTTCCTCTCCGTGATCTTGGACTTCCCCAAGAATACAACGTAAGATGTTTCGCCCAAAATTTCCCAGAGCTTCCTCGTCGCGCGTAAAGTCAATGTCCAACTCTGCCATGCATAAGTCAAGACAGATCTTAGAAGACTTCTGTAAAGAAGCAATTTAATTCTTAATTTAAGAAAGCTGGATTTTAAATAACTCTTCAGGATATAAAAACAGCTATTTGCAGCAATGATTCTTTCATATTTCTGGGGCCAAGACATTTTTATTATCTATCTCCATTCCCAATTAAGTAAAACTGTCAACTTTTTCAAATTTACAACTGCCAATTTCGAAGTGACTAAGTTGTAAGTCAGACTTTAACGAAGGTAAATATTTAGTTTTATTTTAGTTTAAAAATAAATTTTGTTCTTCACTTTGTTCCAATGCCATGTTTTTGAGAGCCAGTGAGGTTGGGGCAATAATGCCAATGTCATAAGCATAAGACAGTATTTCAAGACTTAGTAAAAATATTTCCTCTAATATTGATCTTTAAGTCTAATAACTTTGTCGAGTGCTATATTAAACAGAGGAAGCCAAACTTCACCTTCGCCCTCGTTTTTTACCTCACTTTTCGTAATCACCCTTGTAACGTATTTTGCAGTATGTAACGAAATAACAGGTGAACTTCTTATTAAAACATAAATTTTATTCCCAATTCACGGAGATAGATAATTTAAATACAATTACGTCCGTTAAAGCTTCACACTCCAGCTTATTATTATAATAGTTTGCATAATAAACTCCTTATTGAAATCAAGTGCAAGTATTAGTATAGGCTTTTGAGAAAGTTTTTCCTTTAGCTCTTCAAAGGCTTTTGTGCACTTATCTGTTTAATTTATTTTCCCTTTCTTTAAGTTTCCTTTCAAAGTTTCGGTTAGCGATGCTGCTATAGATGAGAACAGGGGAATATAATGATTATAATATCCCTCTAAAAATGCTCTGACTCGACTTTTTGTGGATGGCACGGGAAAATCAAGAATAGCTTTTACTTCGACTTCACTTGCCATTCTCATACCCCGACCGACCTACAGTATGTCGTATGTGTTTTACTTTAGCTTGAGCAAATTTACATTTTATAGGTTTAATGATCAGCGGCCTTTACTTTTGTCAAAACGGCTTTCAAATAACTTAGATGTTCTTCCCACGTATTTGAAAAGATTGCCACGTCATCTAAAAGCAAAGTTTTCACAACCTCGAAGGATTTCGGCCATCATTTTACTAAATGCAAAAAGTGCATTTTTAAGTCCGAAAGTCATCCATAGTGGTCTAAATGTGCCAAAACTTGTAACAAAAGTGGCTAATTCTTTGGACATTAGGTGTTAATGGTATTCACCAGTATCCCTTTGTTAAATCCAAAAGAGTTATATATATTATGCACCTGCTACAGTTTTCACTCGTTATTCTATATTAGGCGAGGGGAAGAATTGTGTTTTAGTCAACTTATTCAATTTTCTATAGTCGATACAAGGTCTAGGATCTCTTCCTGCTACTTCCACTAAAATCATAAGAAAAGTGTAATCGGAATCTCCTATTTGAGTTATTTTGTATTGAAGCATTTTTACCAATTGCTGTTTTTAATATATTTGTTAATCTGGGAGAAATTATGTATGGTTTACAGTGGATCTGTGTGTTTTCTGTCAGTTGAATATCATGCGTTATTAAATGCGTTTTTCCAGACCTATTAGAAAAGATTTTTTTAAATTCCAGCAGCAGATAATGCAATTCCTGAATTTGCTGTTTATTTAGCTTATTAAAGAAACTGTTTTCTTTAATTTCCTCAAAATTGAACAATGTTGGTTCAGAATCGATCTTTGGGAAATTTTCCTCCATATCACCGGTTTCAGATTGATCTTCTATAATCATAAGGTTAACCGATTCTGCTCGCTTATGATAAGGTTTCAACATATTAGCGTGGTAGACTTGATTATAGTCTTTTTTCCTTCGAAACTCACAACGTAATTAGTGTCGGATATTTTCTCCTCAATCTTCCCTTTCTCATCAGCTTGCGGTAAAATATCTTCGTCAGTCTCAATAAACGTCAGTTTTTCTAGTTTCTCCATTTCGGTGTCTATACTTCGATCTTCTTCACGAGATCTTTTTACTTGAGATCGTGTCAAAAAGGAATTTAGGCTTTCTAAATTTAAGAATGGTTTATCTTTGAACAATTGGGCAATTTTGTTACCCAATACATATCTGTCGGGATCATTTGCAGAAACAGCTCTCTTCGTCTTTATATGGCCAAGTTTACAATTAATTTAAACTTTAGCTAACGGTAGACACACTACTGGTCATTTAAAAGATATTGTACCCAGACATGTTTCCTGTCATTTTTGCGTTATTTCTGTATTTTTGAGAAATAACATCTACTGTGGCTCCTGTGTCTCAAAGAACAGGCATTTCGTACCCATTAACTAAACCGTTAATTGTATATGTCTCTAAAAAATCACCATTCGAAGATTGGCAATTTAACTTTTCATTCGGTTTTAAGCGAGGGCACTGAGGCTTAAAAGTTTCGTATGTCGCGCAGTCGAAACAGCGTGGTCGATATCTTTTGTCATATAAATTTTCTTGCTTCTTGTTTTGGAACTGATTTCTTTGTCGGTAATCTTTCTGGTATTTCGAATCATCCCATTTATCAGAATGCTTAAAATGAGGCAGATGCCCTATTTTTTTCACAAAATTTCGTAACGAGGTTTAAATGATCTTTGTTAATTCTTTCAGTTTGCTTGGCAGAAAATTTCGGTTTTATTGTTTTTCTCACATCTTCAAAATCTTCAGTTTTTTAACCATCTCAGTAGGTGAAATGATGGTAGTCCGTTCATCTATAAAATGTTCTTTGAAATCAGAAGTACGCTTTTTAATTTGATCAACCAGCACGAGATCTTTTAGCTGTTCAAAAATTTTAATGTTTAATCCGTTCAGCCATCCTTCTAAATAATTCATAGCAGAAATCCTACCAAGTACTTTTAGTTGATTTTTGGTGTTTATTAAATAGCTGTCGAAATTTTTTCGCGTTCAATTTAAATCGTTGTAACCGCAAAGTTTTTACATATTCGTACTTTTCGCATCCTCTTCTGGTTCTCTAGCAATAAGCTGAACAATATCAGGAGGCGGCAATGAAATAAGTCGAATCACTTGACTTTCAGCAGATATTTTCATAATTTTTAGCTAGACGTTCGAATAACACCAGAAATAAACTTATTTCATATTCTTTATGACATCGTGAATCTGATTTTTGAAGGCTGCTCAGGTAGCTGCGTAATTTCTACCGGATGTGCTCTTGTAGCCATTACTTCCAATTGAAGTTTCTGTAGATCAAAGGCTCTAATTCGCTCTACTCTCTCGCATTCTTCGTTTCGTTCTTTTTCTTCTCTTCCGCGTTCTTTTCCCTTTCTTCTCTTTCGCATTCTTCTTTTCTTTCCCTTTCTTCTCTAATTGCAGTAAGTAATTCTCGAGTAAATTCCTCCTCATAATCGGGTCTTTCAGTAATCAACTTATGCAACTGAGCAATCTTAAATTCAGGTCTCACGGTTAAACCTAATTCTTCTGCCAGTACTTTTAATTTCTGTTTTCTACTCCTAGCTAAGAATGACGTGTTGAACAAGTTACCTTTAAGAGGCTTGGTTTTTTAAATTGAATCTTAAAAACCGTACTTGTATTAAAAATATATAATTTTTGGCGAGACTTAACATGTCAAATACGAAATTTCCTGTAACTAATTGGAGGGAATTATTTGAACAAATTTTCCAGTTTGGCACAAAATAAAATATTTCTACGCCAGGTTGATATTTTAACTGACTATTCACAAGCCTCGTTGGCGATAACTATATAAACACCTTTGCCAGTTAGGCAATACAATAGAATTTTACCCACGTCATTTTGACGATTTTACTATCTCCACAACTGGTTGGTGATAACAAAAACAATTTTTGCCAGTTTGGCAATATAAATTAGCTGTAATACGTTGGGATGTCGTTACTATCTACCACACGCCTGCATGGCGAGAACTAAGAAAAGACTTATGCTTGCTTGGCAAGTACAATAAAATCACACTACATCAGTTTGACGTTACTACTTATTTTCCACGCTCCTGCTTGGCAACAAATTCAAAAACACAATTATCAGTTCTCTGTTTTTTTTTTTTTTTTTTTAATGCCAGGATGGCTTTCACAATTATCGAAGTCAAAAATTCAACTATTCCAATAAACAAAAAGGTTTATGCAAATAACAGTAAAGCTTAAATAATAAGTTTTAAAATGCTTCTTTACCACAAATATCAATTGTAATTTTAGGCTGAATATTTTTAATATCAGTAGTTTTAAACAAAATCTTACACTATTTAAATATAAATCTGAAATGAAATACTAAAACTCAGTAAACACTTTTTTATAAAACCCAGAAGTTAATCTTATCTTCGGAGATCAGCAATATCCTGTTCTGACAATTCTTTGCTCTGACGCAAGCTATAGGTACACAGAAGATAACTTTTGAATGATCCGCTTCAAAACGGCAGACTTCTGACATCCCGCTTTCCTTGAAATAAAACTCGGCAATTGGTACTAGCAAACGTTTTCTCAAAATTTTATCAATATTCTGGGATTAGGAGACTAGCACCATCGAACTGATAATTGTACTCCTAATTTCCAGTATCTCGGTAAAACCTCCAAAATTTATAAGACTGTAGCGTATTTTGTAGTATGTAAGGAAATAACAGATGAGCTTCTTGTTAAAACATAAATTTTATCCTCAATTCACGGACGTGGATAATTTAAAAACACTTACGTTCTTTACAGCTTCACATTCTAGCTTACTATTACTATTATTTCTTTCTCTATGAATTTTTCATATATCTACTACTGGTAAAACTTTCAGAATAACAAATTTTAAACATTTTCTGACGTTGCTCAGCAACACGATACAAATATGGCGAATTATTACACGATACAAATATGGCGTTGCCACTCCAATAGCAAGGATAATAAATATAATTATTTGTTAAATAATAAAATATTACACCCTGTATGCGTACTTGAATTATGGGCTCTTTGTGAATCAAGGCTACAAATACAAGTTTTTCTGGAACTTTCAATTCATGCATAGATTTTATGAGAAGTTTTCTGTTAGTACAATCATATGCTGTTCTAAAATCGATAAAAAGATTGTGACTGTGGATTTCAAGTTCTCTACATTTTTCAAGGATCTGTTTTAAGTTGAAAATTTCCTCAGTTGTAGCTGAAAAAGCATACAGTGACTGTTTAATTTTTTTCCATAGCTCTGACAGTGGATGGAGTGGGCGTCAAAGCCGCAGCAGTGCAAGCAGATATCGGAGCCATCGACGGTATGGTGCACATAATCGACAGACTTTTAGGAATGCCCTATCAAACCGTCTTCTTAAAACTGCAGTCAGATCCAGATCTCAGGTAAGTCTTTCCTCTGGAAGTGAATGCCAACATGAAATTAAGATTTAGCGGTCTTCGTGGCTTCAAAAGCTAAACTGTGCCTGAATATGCGAATTTCGCATGACTAGTCACGTAATTACTCTTTAAGATTTTCGATTAAAGTACCCTCTGGTTAATGTGATCGCGGTTAATTTTATCAATCGGATATTGTTATTGATTTGCTGAAATCCCGCCCGTTTGTATACGAAAAACACATCGCTTATTGGCATCAATATTTCGGTTAATGTTATTAAAATTTTTCAGAATGGATTTTTTAAAATGAAGTAAAATCACCCAATAAGCGCGATATAAATTGTCAGTGACAGAAGTATGTTGCTAAATAAACTATTAAGTCGCCAAGCAGCTTGGTTTTGATTTACCATCTGCAAAGGATTCAGGATTAGGATTATTCAATTATGGCAAAACACACGAGGGCTATCTGCCTAAAAGGGATGGATGCTTTCGTAGAGGGCTTTCTAAGGGAAACTGGCTAGTATACACGTTACACATGGGGAAAACCACGAAAACGCCCAAGCAGCCAGCCCGTTAACGGGATTCGAACCTCGCCCCGAACTGCCAGTATTCAGCGTCTTTACCGTTCGCCGCTGGTGGGCCCCCATCTGCAAAGGAGCTTGTTTTCTAGGATTTAGGAAGATCTATTGGTTTACTCGGAGTAAGGAAACTGAATTCTAGACGACCTTGATTTTTCGCGCCAAAATATCTGAAAACTACTTTTCTTCCTTACTAACTTGTACGAAGCAAATATTGTAATCGCGAAAAATTCCAGGTATTGTATTTGAACAAAAATATCCGTTTTGACCGCTATAGAATGCAATTTAAAGATGATTTTGTGTGACACCTGTACATAAGAACAGAATAAAGGACTCTTTTTTTTTTTTTTTTTTTTTTTTTTTTTTTTCCAAAACGAATTATAAAACTGATTTAAAATGCATTCAGAAGAGACTTTTTCGTGGCGTCTGTACGTACGTATCTCTCATAACTCAAAAACGAGTAGCCTCAGAAAGTAGAAATTTTATATATAGGATTGCTATAATATGTAGATGAACACCTCCCTTTTTGGTTGCAATCAGCCGCGCCAAAAGTATATAAATTTAATTAGTAAAATTTTAAAATCTAATTAATATTCTGACTAAAATATTTTTAATTTTTCATGGTTTTAATTGAATTCCTGTCCCTTGGAGACTGTATATGAAAAGTTTTATTATAAATTATTCGTTTCTTAATTTGCTGCTTTAGCGCAGGTCATAGGCTTTTTAATTTACTCATTACTTTTATATATATATATATATATATATGTGTGTGTGTGTGTGTGTGTGTGTGTGTATATACACCCACCGTATTACTCTTCTTAGTGAGCTCAGTTTTTTTATTCTTATTATGTTGGTAAATTGTACATTGTTTGCTTTAAAAATTATTGAATTATGTTGTTCTTATCATCCGGTTAAGGTTGTTATGCTTAAGATAACCCGCATGTTATCGTTGTAGAATTATCCAACAATTTAAAAATTGTTTAATTGCGGCTAAGCCTAATTTTTTTTACCATAGCAGCCTTATTTGCTTACATTTGAAATTTAGCAGAATAATGAATGAAGTTTTTCTACACCATCAGTGTCTTTGCCGAGTGGGACCAAAAGGAAACTTTTAGTTTTGCGCACTGAAAAATCTGCCTTATCTTGCCTGCTGGCCATATTGCTTGTTTTTGTGTAGAAACTCTAATTTTAATTGTAAAAAATTTTTTTGATTGTTTTAAGTGTATTTTGTGTTTTATGTTTTTCAGTTTTTAATGAAAGTCTTTTGAGTTTTTATGTATTTTTTTTCTTACCGCGAAGTGAGAACTGAATTGAATGAGAAATCCAGCTCTAGTGAAATTTGAGGAAATAAGTGAACTGCAAGAAAAAATGCGTGCAATTTAATATTCCGTACAAGGTAGTCACGTGGTGTGCACATAAGCATTTTTTAAAATGAAGTAAAATCACTAAATAAGTTCGATAGAAATTGCCAGATACAGAAGTATGTTGCTAAATAAACTGTTAACTCGCCAAACAGCTTCTTTTTAATTTACCCATGCCCGAAGGAGCTCGTTTATCAAGATTTAGAATCATCTGTTGGATTAATCGGAATAAGGAAACTAGATCACCTTGTTTTTTCGTGCCCAAAAATATTTAAAAACTGTCTTTCTTTTTTTATATCTAAGTATATGGGAAAAAATTCAAGTATCAGCATCAACGGCAGAAGAAGATATCTGCCAGCCTTTTCCTGAAGCAAACATCATGGGATAAACTTTCTGAAGAAGAAAATGAAGATTGGCATTAAATTTACTGCTCAATATTTGAAAACCCCATTCCGGTATATACCTGGAATAAAGTCTTTAGATGTCGAAGAACAAATTTGATTTGTAGAATTTCCCTTTATCTTTTATTGCATATAATTTCACTCAAGTGATATTTAGTAGTATAGCTCTTTGGATTCTCCAGTATATTTTAACTAAATAACACATTTTGTTGTACAAATTTATTACGCCTTACCAGTAGACTGCTGGAAACTAAAACGACACATTCTTCATTATTAACCCGAAGAGGTAATTTGACCAGAAGGGCTTTAGGACTGTGTATTCCCACTGTGCAATTCTAAGTTGCAGTTGGATGTGAAGAATCTTAAGAACTAGTAAGCGAATAACCGCTTGAGTTCATGAGACAGTAAATAAACTTGGAAAGGGTTAAAAGACTGTTATTTAAATAAGGTTTAACAGAACTCCGTCTTGGAGTCGTACAATAAAGCCGAAACTCGGGCTTGAAGTTAAGAGACTAAGAATTAAACTAAACTAATCTTAACTAAAGAGATATAGCCGAAGCTATCAAGATTCTAACGGAGTTGGCCCCTTAACGTTTATTTTCTACGAAGCTATCAAGGGCCTAAAGTACGGCCGAGCGTAATAATAGCTTACGAAAAAGTAGCCTAAAAAGGCGGACGCGTGCTAGCGAGAATGTCTGGTATTTCTCTCACTAAGACACTTCGCGGTTAAATACTGCTCTCCCTCATTAGCATTCAGATGTGATTCTAAAACTACTTTCTGGCCGGAAGTGGTAAGTTAAAATTAAGAAGCGAGAGGAAAGAAAATTTAACTGTTAAATTAACAATCCTTACAGAGCTGTTAATTTCGTTTGGTCATTTTTGCGATGATTCACTATAAACGGCGAATCACTTTTTAAATTGTTACCACCAAATATATTTACTGTCGTATATTATATTTAAAGAAATTAAATAATGAAGAATCTGCATAAATGTATGTATATTTCTCGCATTGTGATAAAACAACGGTACATAAAGCCATCCAGTTTTGAATAACGTACGTCTCTACTCGAATATTGGCATCTGGAAGCCCGAATTTGGAATTTGTTTTATTATATATATATCACATTCTGTAAAACATTTATGAGTTTTTGATTAAGAAACTCGACTATTTCAAAGCGAGCAATGGGAACACTATTCCAAAAAATTCATTTTTATCTCCAGGGTGCGAGATTGAGTTTCGTAAATTCTAAAGATATGCACTTTTAAATATTTTATGATATTGCTGTTGAACCGAATTTTATGGTTTAAGTGCGAAGAACAGGATATTGCATAAATAAAGGTATCACAAAAAAGTTTAAAAACGCACCTTTGAGCGTTATATAAAATCTGAAAGCTTCAGATCTTTTTTTTTCTTATTTATTTTTAGCATTTCTTGCATAAATGTGTGTACCATTCCTATCCATTTTGAATTATCCGTAGAAGAATATACACTATAGAATAAGACATGTAACACTGTGTACTGTATCAGTACTACAGATTTTAAATTTGTGATGTAAGCTGATAAATCAAATTCTCAATACTCTAAATTTTTCTTTGAGTAGATGGAAAATTCCGTCTTATGATAAAGCCTTGACATATATGCATGGAAGTTTAAACATATAATTCCTTGGGGTTTTATAAATGTATAATACTTTCATACATCTTAAAATAAAGCATATTTTCGGAAATATGATCTCTGGTTCTAATTATACGTATTTAATAAATACGTACGTGTTTAATCTTACGTCTTAAATACGTATTTAATCGAAATTTTACATGGACTGATGTCTGAAAACCTGTGCTATTAGTCGGTACTTTTCCAAGTTAATTTTAAAGTGTGAAAACCGTCTAGAGATTTGCTAATGAGTCTTTAATGCGCTTTTCTAAATTTTTCTTTAATGTCGTTACCTTGTTATTTCGGTCACTGAGCATGTCCCCCACGTTTAGGTTTTGCGAAGCAAAAAGTGGCATTAATGTCTCTTCAATTGCTGTCGTTACTTTTAACCAGAAAAAGTCTTTTATTTACAATTCATCATTTTCGCACCAATTTATTCGTTCAGCCATTTATCGTTTGTAGCATTTTTGAAACTAACTCGTCCATTTCTTGTCTGTAACGTGGTAAAGCATCAGCAATTTCAAAATGGTTGAAAGGTAGTCGTTTTGCTGTTTTGCAACGTGCGCATGAGGAACTGTGCCCACCATCTCAGGAGCATATTATACTAATTATTTTTCTGCTACAAGCTGAAATATAATTATATAATTATTGTATTTTGTATTTCAGACCTACTTTTTAATGGAAACCTGTAGACACTAGAACAGGGCTCCTTGAACGTTTTTCAATCGCGACCTCTTTTTATCACGGAGATGTTTTTCGCGGCCTCAGATATTAAGTATAAAGTAAAAGTATAAAAATAAGTATCCTCCTGTAAATAATTTACTTCTTTGTCAAAAAAATATACATATAAAATGAAGTATTTTAAATATTTAGCAGATTGTAGCAGATATTTGACACTGCTAGATATAAAGCATCTTCAGCATGTTTCAACATTGGATGACATTTGTTTTTATTAGTGTTAAAGCTGAAAAAGTAGTTTCACAAAACTATGTTATGCTGAATGACAGAAGAACAT